TTCTAATTACACCGTCCTCAGCACTCAGACAGAAGATCTACCGTGGAAAGTATTTTCGTTCTAACGCTTCAGATACACCTATTTCGTTATCGGCCGAACTATGCTTAGCCGTCATCGGCAAAAACAGCCGATCAAATCAAACGTATGTAAGAGAAAGAGTGTGTACACTACTTCTCAACCGCCAACGTCCGATGACACCCGCCTGATTTCATACATTTTGCCATTTGATCCAATCGGCCGATAACGCCCGAGCATAGTTCGGCCGATAGCGTACTGGTGTGTGCGAACTATCCGAACCTATCCGCCTTATTACAAAACGTTGACTAAAGGTAAACCCGGTATATAGGTAGTCCACGTTTTGGAAAGAGGCGGTATGAGTCTACATCTGTATAGTATGTAACTTTCACAAAAGGGGGTTATTGACTAAACCAATTTTTTTTATATCCGGTAGCTGGAGATGCTTGTTTTGGAAAGCCCTTCAAAGTGACAGTTCCGGCTAATACAAATTATTTTCTATTCGGCTAATTATGACTCCTTATTGTCAAGTTTATGCTGGTTTGCGAGACAGAACCAATAAGGTTATTTCATAAAATTTATGTATTACTCTGTTTCAGCATTATTTCATAAGATTTGTCGTATTTTTTTCTAGACAAATTTAATCTTGTCAAACATTAGCCCAATTCAACTTTAACATTGAACAAACAGTCAACTGGGAAAACCACAAACAGCACTTTCACAAGGTACCGTTTTCACGGCACTTCTCGTGTGTTTCCGTTTCATTGTGACTGAATTGTAAGAAAAGATATTTACTCACTTATGATGAGCAACAAATTATGAAATACATTTTCCTAGAACTCCACAAAGTTTGCCCAAATGTGATGTCGTACACAAAACTTCTGAAGCATGTCAGGTTTATCCGTAAAACGAGGTGGTTTAAATCTCTGTCGGGAATCCTATTTATGAAAACAAAGACCTAATTTATAAGCACGATATCTGATTCGTGTGAAAGCAGAAAGTCGCATTATCTAACGCGCCGATTGTTGGGATAGAACATTAATTAAGCAGTCTTAGGTGTCTTCCACATCGGGTCGATCTCGTTTCTGTACTGAATCTGTACAGATTATTATTGATTCTCACTGAGCTATTTTAGTTTTTGTACAGATTCTTTACCGAGCGCTTACACATCTCTAGTGCTACCGAACCATTCGAGTCGCCCGTCTCGTCACTCCCGCCTAATGTAGCAAACGAAGCGATAATCATCAGCCTATTAATGTCCCCACTGCAGAGGGACAGGGTCTTCTAAGGATGGTCTAGTCTGGGAGACTGGGCTGTGAATCCGTGACCCACCACGCGGCCCCAGTGCGATTTGGTGGGTTCTAACGACTGCAGGTGCAGCCGGGACTAACGGTTTAACGTTTCTTTCCGAAGCACGGAGGAGCTCGAGATGGTGATTTTTGGTCACTCATCCAATGATCGATCACTGCGAAAGTTGCTTGACTTCAACGATTGCAGCAGAAAGTGCTGACCCCTGGCGCCATCGAGCTCCTCAAATAAAACGATACTACATTGAAATCGAGTCGGCCGAGAAGTGGTTCTCGGTGAAGAATCGACGAAACGAGAACACACCGATCCGGTAAGGAAGGTGCCTTAGGTAAGTATATATTTCGTTTAGTGACGTTTCAGCTTTAAAATAGCTTGGAATAGATTATCAGTCTGATACCGCGGTCGGCCTGCCACTAGAAAGTCATTGGATGGATAACTAAGAATTTAAAGCGCTTGAAGTCGAACTAAGTGATGGAAGGGCTGTTCCTTTCACATAAGTTTATTTAAAAAAAAAAGGTATCATACTGTGAGGTTGCAAATTAAGTCTGCAACCTTGTGTTAAAATCTTCAAAATAGTTTTTCCTCGATGGTAATTCATCACGTTCGTTCTTTAGAAATAAATACTTTTAAAAATACAATGGTTTTAGAAAATAGACACAATCAGGGGACGATTTAGAGATAAATCACAAACCTTATGGCGTAGTTAATTTAACTCGTAGAGAAAGTTGTTGTCCTTATAAGAACAGTAAAAATCTAAAAGCACAAATAGATTTTTATATTACTCATGTTGCTTAGAGTAACATTAAAACTGTACTCATCGCTAGTAATAATTTAAGGGAGTTTGTAATAGAATCTGCGTCTCGAGAGAGTTTCAGAAAAGCAAAGCCCATTTAACATTAGCATAAAATTAATGAGAGCTGTTTTTGGACGTCGTATTAATTGCAGACATACGTTGATTTCAAAAGAGGAAGAATAGAAAGTGAGATAAAAATATGCATGCATTTTCTCTTTTGTGAAAAAATTTAATGGGACAACATGGTTTCGTACAACGCAACACGTAATCGGTGAAATTTAACTATTACCACCACCTTATTTTATCAATAAACATTATCCATAATCCAGCAAATACTGAGTTATAAATTAAACATTAATAAATAAATTTTTGCTTATTGGTTTAATTTCACCAAGCTATCGTAAGCGCATTCTCTATACAGCGTTACTGGAAAAGTCGATGTAGACATTTAAGGACATTATTATTTAGGTAAGTACCATTAAAGTACCATTTTTGCTCAAAACAATGGTACTTTCAAGAAAAACTGGATTCGTAAAAAGTTTATTACGAAGAAGAATGAAAATATGTGTTAGAAATAGTGACGGTCAAGTAAAACATGAATTATAAATCACAAAACTAAGTAAATAATCATGTATTTTTATATCATAAAATGACGTTCTATTAATTTTTGAAATGGTCTGCGACCACTTTTTTCTTCGTTTCAGCGTTTCCTTACTTGTCTCCTTTACTTAATATTTTATACCATTTTTGATAGCTAAAAACAAGTGTAAGTTATTATTATAACTAGCCAGTTAACTTCCATACAAGTTTTTCTAATTAATCTTTTGGAAAGTTGCGAAAACAAAATGAAAAATCTACATTCAATCAATGAAGATATAAGTGGTCGCAGACCATTTAAAAAATTAATCATTTTATGATATAAAAATACATGATTATTTGTTAATTTTGTTATTTCATTTACAATAAATGGAAGGCCATCAGTAATAAGTATTTTGTTCCTTTATGGAGTACCAGTATCGCCACTTTATTCCCACTGTAGCGATTATTTACAGTGAAATGTGGAAAAAACAAAGAAAAACCATCGCCGGCCGTGTTGCTCTATGGAAAAACACTGATCTTATTTTGCCATGATTTTCATTGTCAAATGATTTTCAAATTAAGTGATAATATTTTTTGTAACACGCAAGTGTGTGTTACGCTGACTGCCTTTAGAATATCGTAACAATGAAAATATTATTGTTTATCTTTTCAATGAATAGGCACAAAGCGTATACGTACGACTAGATTTGGCACGAAAACGTTTCGAAAATGCGAGCACCATTTAAATTACAACATTATTGAAATTCAAGTAAGTGACTCAATCTAAAGAAAATTTTACTAGAAAAAAATGCACGCAGTCCAGGAAGCAGTGACTCGAATCCGCACCTTCCGCTATCCGAGCGGATGCATTGACCAAATTATGTTACCGCGAAATTAATGGCCGTGTCTAATCTTTTCTTGTATTTCTTATGTTGCAAGACATACTGCAAGGAATACGAGCATTTGTACTCGAGTCATGGATATTTAATATGTATTTCTATATAAATATACTTGTATATGTATTCTATCCGTTACCCTAGTATGCCATGACACAAGTCTTACAGTGCTCACTCTGGGGCTAGGCTAATTGGTATGTGTTAAAAAAAATGTCAAACACAATACCTTTACAAGAACTCAAAGAAACATTTCAAAGAAGAAATAACAAATGTAGTTTTTTTTTATAATTCCTGGGCTTCGTGGATTTTTTTCTAGTAAGATATGATTTAAACATCTAGTATTGAAATGCCTAAACATTAAGATATAATAAGTGACTCAATATTAAAATAGTGTAAACACATTATATAAGACTTCGCAACTAGCTATTCAGATTTTTATCTTATTCGGAAAGCAATTTTAAATTTATATTTCTAAAGAAAAGAAAGAAAGTATGAAATTTGGTAACTAATTTTAATACAATATAATATTTGAAGCCATAAAATAACACAATGAATAGCTAATACAAAGTATAAATAATACATGGCATATGCCAATTGAAAGTTCGTTGTATGGTGACCATGCAGTCGGTATCAAGGATGTTATCGATATTAGATTTCAGTTCTTGATCAGGACACAGAAATATAAATAATATTACGGTTTCGGATACGTTGATGGAAGTGAAATTACTTCGGATTGTGCAATAATAACATCCCTGGTTCGTACCCACTTTGAATGAAAAATTGCGCTTACGACAGTGACATAGAAAAAAAAAACGACGGGTTGCACTCCGGGATTGCCGGCAGAAGTGAAAACTTGAATATTAACGTTGTGCATTTTTGATATTTTGGAATGGTTAGGGAATAATTTTGCACGAATTGCTTTAATTATCATTATAAAAGAACTATCATTTATGTGGTAGAATACAATATTTATTTATTGCGCTACCGAAAACAAACATGACAACTTATATTACATTAAAAAGTTTATCTTTCAAAAAATTTAATTTACATGAATCACCTTTAAGCGCACCTAGCGGCATCTAGTGTAAAAAAATGCATTTTCTTCGCAATAAAGCTGCCACCTGGACGTTCTAATTAGAGACTTATTATTATAATACGATAAAATAAAATATTACTATGTTTCGTCCAATATATTGAAAGTCAACAACCTTTCCAATTTTATTGTTTTTGTCTTACGAATTTTCGATTAGGTCACGTGGCCACGTGTCCTGACGTGAGCTTAACCGTTTTTACTCATTACAAAAAAAGTGTACAACGCTGCTAAAGAAGTTTTCACCTCAAAACAAAAACACACCTTATTATTAACTAAAGGTAGTAAGATTGTGAATAATTACTTTTTGTCCGCTCACCTCGTCCTCGTGGTACCAGAAGATGTAGGCGGGCGGCTCTGGGCTGAACTGGATGAGGCAGGTGAGGTTTATGGTGGACCCAATGTCCACATGAAGATCCGGACCCCCTAGGATGCGGGCCGACGGCACTGAAACCAAATACATACATAATTATTACCACCAGTGACTAACTGATAATTATCACAGCCCCAAACGAAGCACCGCAAAGAGCTGAGTAAAGTCTTGAAGAAATTGAATAATTGCATTGCAAAATACACATACTATATTTTGCCATTGGTCAATTAAATCTGCTCAGCTCCGCGCAGTTCAGTGCAGTGGAAGCACAGCCTGAAACTTGTGTAATGGGATACTAGTGTACCGGATCGAAACACATAATAATGTACTGATACATTATATAAGTATTTTTTGTAGATAAAATAAAAAGCTGTGACTTGGGTACAAATGCTCGTAATGATAATATAAACATTTGCCTCGAAGGAATTTGAACTTCGGACCTTTGAGTAGGCGACCTCTTGAATAATTGTATATGTACATAGTAGACCTACGTGGCTCGAGTGGTAGCTACGTCGATTTTCGAGATGTCGCCTACTCAGTGGTCCCGGGTTCTAATACCGGTGAAGCAAATGTTTCTGTGATGAATACGAGCGTTTGTAAGTCAAGGATGTTTATATGTATTTCTAAATAAAAATGTACTTATATATGTTTTTCAACCGTTACCCTAGTATCCCATAACACAAGCCCTAAGTGCTTACTTTGGGGCTAGGCTAATTGGTGTGTGTGTGAGTTATATTCATTCATATTATCACGTGGTCGTAAAAGACAAAGACATAATTAAATAACATGTAATTAGATACAATATTTATGATCAAACCAAACGCCGCCGGTACACACGCCATGCAAATCCGTAAAAAATGGAAAAGCTTTAAAAAAACGGTTTTCGCAAAATATCACACAAGTTATAGTATTAGTTAAGTATACATTTTAAATATATTATGATTAGTTTATATAATATTAATATCCAGAATTTAGTGTCTGGCTAAGAAAAGCACACATGAAGTCACATCTGTTTCCCAGAGGGATGATCAAAGTTAATTGTTTACCCGCTTATTTTTGAGGTTCATTGAATATAATTTTTCTACATTTCAAATGCACATGCTAGATTATGATATGCAAAGAAAATTTTACTGGAAGAAATGCTGGAACCTGGGAAAAATAACAACTTTCTACCTTTATAAAAATGTGATAGACTTATTTGACATTGTAGTATTTGCATTCAAATATATAACAAAAAGAATTCGTCGAATATCTTCTTCTATTGAAATACAATAACATATTCGGGACTTTTGGTTTCCATTCATTCATCCATCTAGCAATGGGTGTTGGTTTGATTCCCGGGATGATTGGATATTTCCTTCACATTATTTTCAGATACTTTTATTACAACTGTTCTGCTATGATCCTATTGAGAGTTCCATTCCACACCTAGGAAATCCATGATTAGATTAGCAGTGCTATTTTGTAAAATTTTCAAGCGCGGAGGCGATGTGGATCCGCCCGGATTTATATTGAAACCATGCAAAACCATCCGCGCGTGAATGTTTTACAAAATAGCAGTACATGTCAGTTTTTCTATGGGGCCACTTCAGGAATCAGAATTTTTAAAGTCAACCCATATATGACGGAGAAATCAGATAACAAAAATATCGAATAGAGAACGTCCTCCTCTTTGAAGTCGGTTGATATAACAGCATCCAAAGTCACTTTTATAATTGAATTCACAACTGATTAATGCTTGGAAAATAATACCGGAAAATATACTTGTAATAGTTCCATTTTCCGGATTGGCTGAAATTGGGATACGCCAATGTCCGCAAAAGTGCGTTGTCATTTCAAATGTCAAAACTTTTAAAATTGGAACGCACGGAAAAGTAAATCAAAGTCGCCTACAATGCTTTCTCCGTATTTTTTTTTGTATATTTACACATTAATGACGCAAAAAAAAATTCAAAAATAGTTAATTCTACTACTAACAAAAGATTTAGAATCTTTATCCTTAATCTCATTTATTACTTTTCTTTTGCTTTGTAACTTTGTAAATTGCCAGTGTTTGAAACATGTGCCTGTTTAGAGAGCATCGTAAGCAAAATCGTGGGATCTGAGCGACACAAGCGGTGCCAACTAGCTTCGGATGGGCTGCTACACTTTACATCTACGTACTCTGAAGCGACAACACCATGCGACATGTTTTGTAGTCCGGACATGTACCGGAATTCAAGGCGGGAATGGAACATTTTTTAATCGAGTTCTTTAAAAGAGTTTTCATCTGATAATTCTTACTAGATAATTATTTGAAGAGATTGACTTGATAGTTTACATTGGTACTCTTAACTATCCATATAATAACAAAATAAATGACAGTAATTAACCATGAATTAGCGACTGTCGTGCGAATTCGGGGTGTTTGATATCAAATTCGGATTCAGGACTTTTTTTAATGGGAAGGGGATCCACCAAGAGGAAGGGTGACCTCCTCTTGGTGGATCCCCTGGGTACACCGAAAATTTTATTTTTCGATTTTTAAAGTAACCCTGTACGCCTCCCCTTACCATCACTGGACCTCAGAAATTTAAAAATAGGATTGGCTATAAATTTCAGGAAAAAAATAGAAAACAATTTATTTTTCGATGTTTTAGGTGACCCCCCCCCCCCCCCCCCCCCACTTCCATCACCCCTGGACCTTGGAAATTTCAAAAAATTTAAACTACCTTTATATATACTATTTAACTAAACTACTATCATGTTTTGTATTCGAGATTTTTGGGATGAAAAACATGATGAGCCTAAGCTTAAAATTTTGTAAAGTAAAAAAAAAGTGACAGATTGCAAATCCAATATATAGTACCTATATTAGAGTAATTTCTACACGTCCAGTAAGGTCTCGGTAACAAAGCGACCACGGAAAAGCGATCTGCTTTTTCATTTCCATCTTAATATTTGGGCTGAGTAGAATTTATTTAGTTATAGGAATTTTCTTTAGATTTAAAAATTTCAAATAAAATATTGTTAACCTACTTTTGTGCAAATCGATCTCTTTTGGACACGTAAATGCCAAGGCAATTTGCGAATTTCTTCCCGCATAGTTGATTCGGATAATCACAAGACCTTTTTACGTAAGATGAGGCATATGCTATCATTGAGGGGTGAAGGTGAATTATAGGACTCCGTGCGTGTCTTGTCTCTCGCATGTGCTGGTAATGCTAATTTATATTCGTTCGAGCATCTCGCTCCAAGTTGGGGTAGGGCCACCGCAAGGTCACCGTGTGTGGGTAACAGATGTCTCAGCAGTGGAAACTTCTGAAGGCTTCTTGGTATGATCAGCGGCAGAATTAGATAACCATGTAATAGGAACACGCACTCACGCAAGGATTCACTATAACACAGAACTCGTAAGTGATTAGTTTTTTTAACCATATCCATTCAAAAACTTTCAAAGTAGTTTTAAATGTATCTGCAATGTAGATTGTATAATGGATACTAGTTTTTGGATTGAACGTCACTAAGGTTAAAAAGCAAATTGGAGAATTTTGATTGTTTTGTGAAAGAACTGCTGCGTTCACTGCAAAGGGTTAGGATGGAACTGACTCGGATGGTTTGATATAAAACTCCTTGTGACATACAATTTTTTTGTTGTTATTTTGTAATTATTTTTATCTATTAAATGACGTTCAAGCTTCATAAAACTGATTTAAAAGAGGCGAAAGCAAGTTATATTAAGCTGAGTAGTTATAAGGTATGTTTTGTAAATTTCAAAAATCAAATAAAGCCGATTATTCACAGAAACCAGGTGTGTGGTTGCGGGAAGCACAGTATTTGTTTATTAATTAAGTATCAGAAGTGCGCTATTGTTTTTAAGATTTCGATATACTATGGTAAGTTAGCTGGGATATATTCTGATTTTTATTGATACTTCATAACAGTGAATTAGAATAAAACTTAATTTTCTATAAGTTTTCATATTAGTATAAGGAATGATAGTGAGTGTTGCAGGATTGGATGCACTCATGGGGGCACTGTACACACCCATACCACACCGATAATTACAGTATTGAACGTAGTCGTCATTATATTCCATTGACCCGGGCGCTGGAGTAGCTGCGTAGTTTTCTTCTGAAAGTAAGATATATATAGAAGACAAGTAAGAAAGTAAGTTTGAGTCAAATGTTGTAGTAAAAATAAATTTATTTCTAGAAAAAAAAGCCTTGATCAGATTTTTAACAGCTGGGGCACATGCCTTAGAATCGGGTAGGAGGAACCACTGTTCCTTATATACTTATAAGCCATTCCACATGCTAGATTAGTGAAAGCTAATGACTGCAGATGGATCCGCAACTAATACAAAGCACGCAGGAGCTTGTCATTATTTATGTTTAACCATTTAATTATTCGCTATTGTAAAAGTTGCTTAACTTCTACAATCTCATACCGAAAACGCTATACCTACTGTGTTATCAACTTATAAACATGTAAATATATAATTATGAACTGAGCAGTTTATCGGTGATATTTGCTTGAAATCGATCATACTAATTATTATGTCTTACCGTATACTGAGTGTATTGTTGATCTAAGTCTTTTGGTGGAATAACATTATGTTATCAAAAGATTTGTATTGTGCTTCCAATTTAAATAAATAATTTTTGACTTTTGACTTTTATTGAAATTGAGTGTAAGATTTCCTATAAGCGACAAAACACATAGCTAAATATGTATATAAAGATAACTTATATATTTAATTATTGTAATGGAAGATGTCTTCCTGCTCTTTATATTGAGGTAATTCTTCAACTTGATGACGCTGTATGAAATAAAACGAGGAGCAATAAATAGTCCTTGCTGAGGTACTTTATTTATTGTGTTTCCTCTTACAAGGTCTTCCACCATATATTTAAGGACCGTTGTCGTGGATTTTACTTTAAAACATCCTACTAATGTTATAAAAGTGTGTTTGTATGTATTTGTTACTCAACCACGCAAAAACGCCTGAAAAATTATGGCCGCTATTAAACAATATGCATGATAACTGTATAAATCAAGGATAAGAATGATAATTATCAAAAGTTAATTTAAATATATTATGTTATTTTAGTACATGCAATCCTCACGTCGAGGCGTCTCTATTATTCAGCACTTGTACTGTTATAGTTGACTTTTCATATCTACTGTCCTTTCTATTTTAACTGACATAGTTTTTGATGCCGTAGAATATGTTGATGCTCTTAAGAATATAGCCCCTGGATATGTTTTATAGAATTTCAGGATCATTCTCAGTAGTACCTTTGGCTAAATTCATGATGGATCTAACAAGGTTTTCTGATACTGCACATTTTAAATACAATTTTTCCATTTGAAATTTAAAGTCAGATGTCAATAAGGTCGTATAGCTATTCTATTCCTTCAGTACATACTGGAATGGACATTTGAACGTCATTGAAATAGATTAGATTTTGAAAAATCAAGAAATAACCTCCTCACTAATTCAACCGGTTGGTATCGCCAATACAAATAACTTTCAGATGCAAATCTGATTCAAACCAGCACCCTTCATTTCAATAAGGTGAATGAATAATTCGAGAAATTGCATGTAAAATTGCTACCGGTCCTCGCAATTTGCACCAAGGATTGCTGATGGCCTGCCTGTGACATTACTCGATAAGCTCATTCCATTCGTTCGATTAGTTATTGGGGCTTGAAGGGTTTCTTATGAATGGTGCAATTGACTTTAAAAATATTTCAACGTAGTAAGTTCATAGATAAAATGTATGTCTTTCATTTCGTGTAAATTCGATGATTGAGAAATATTTCGACATTGATTAATAGAGCATTTTAAGGTTTATGGGTGAAATTATTTTAGGTTTACATCTAACCGCGAAGCTTCCGTTGAGAAAATTTGTATTATGTTTCAAAAAGCATCACGGTATACAGGGGTCTTAACGAAAGTGATTGCGTCATGCGACAGTGAAATATGCAATAACAATAATAAGTTACGATTAAACGGAGCAAAAGTTTACGGTTAACAATTCTCCATCTGCTATCATCACCCACTCAATTTGTTAGTTCCCTTGTGAATTACGCTGCTTTAGGGTAGTATTTCATCTGGTTATTGTTAATGTCGTAATTCGGCACACGTTCGAGGCGCACACCGTTAAATTTTCATTTGCGGTACGAACGGGAACGTGTTATAATAATTGAATCAGCCGTCCCGCTTTCGCCCGGCAGGGCGCGCAAAGGCATTTAAGTTAATTCGCTGCTTTATGACGTCATATTTCGCGCTGCACAAAGAGTGCTAGTTGGAGGCGAATAGTTTTAATGACGTCGCACTCGATCACCGTGGCGTGGCTTCATAGCAAGTCGGGCTTGATGGTCTTCGTTATTGCACTTCATGAACTCATGTAACCGGGGACAAAGTGATCAACAACATCAGAGGCCCAAGCACGAAATTCGCCAGCTCCGTAATTGTGTCGATATCGTCAAATACGGTATGGAAAAGGTTAGTTTGTCCTTACGTCCGGTACTTAGTTTTTATAGAAACTTTGACGATGCGATACGATTATGGTCCTGTTAAAATTCCTGCTTGGGCCTGTGATCGGAGAAAAATAGGAAGCTACACAGGGCGTCTCGCGGCAATGGCACACGGAGGGAAAGTGTATTAAATATTGTAGATAGAATATTTTACTGGAAGAAGACATCATTTTGTTTTTAATAATAAGTAGAACTGTATTAACAGTTTTTTTAAATCCCCTACCACAAATGGGAATCAAACTTGTGAAATATAAAAAAAACATGTATTTTATGATAGTAACAGTCGAAAGGGTTAATCATATTTCCTTTTCTCAATAACATAGCTATTTCCCTCTATGTGGCATGACCGTGGGACGTACTGTATGTACAAAAGAAAAAGATATATAAAAATAATATTTCATAGTTGGTTCCGCTTGAAAGCATCAATAGTGTGACACTATGAGAAAGCCAAATGTACATTAGAAGAGATATAATTTAAATTAAAAAAACAGAGGTTTTAGAGAGACAATTGCAATTGTATGAAAAACGACCATGATCATGGCTGGCTCAATATTAGACGGCGAATTCAATACTTGCATGTATCCTCAGACATGTAATCCAATCCATTAAATTGGCCTTCTAATGGAACTGGACAAGTGTCAAGAAATATTTAAAAATAATTAGTTTTGAAGAAAAAGAGACCACTTTTGGCAAAGGTCGAACCAAAAAAGTTGGTCTTCGGAAACTATCGTAAGAGGTTTTCATCCACAATAGTATAGGAAGTTACCCAGTTAATCGATTAATTCTTGCCGTAGAAGTTAGTTTTTTCGTTGATAAACCAATTTGTCGAGAGTAAAACAAAGTAGATTATTCAATTTATTTTCCGTACAAAATGACGTTTAATTTTCGGTGAGTACGGAAGTTGTGCTAAAGAACAAATTGGTGGGTACAGAGCACTTTATTTGGCAGGTTTTGTGGCGCGCCAGTACTTGCCCGAGCTAGCCCACAAATCGGTTTAATTGCTCGTCTCTTTGTTGCATTAAGCGTTCTGTTCTTGCACAGACAGCGCACAAGCACCTAATTTAAATAAAAAAATCTTATAAAAGATGTAAAATTTGTAGCATTATACTCGTAACGACAACGTTTGAGAAACTATTGTTAAAAATATAAGACTTTTTGTTTATTTTTGATAATTTAACTTCTGTTTCATTTATTAAAGATTAATTTAAACGAATCTTATATTTCATTATAATTGTATTAAATGCATTAAATATTTTTATGTTAAAAGAATATTTTACTAGAAAACACTCAGATCAGGTGACAGGCTAGAATTTAATGGTAGATGAACTTTATACAAAAAATGCTTACTATTGTATCAAACGCATGGTAGTGTGTGTTATTGTTGTTGTTATTCATTAAATACATTTTTCAAAAAATCTTAAGCTGTTTTGTGACAAAAGACTTTTTATAGACTTCTTCTTTTACGTATCATTGTAATAATAATGATGATTTACCTATTAATCTTAATTACAAACTTGAAGAATGATTTCGAATTCCTTTCTAAATCTCACAAAATAACACACCTTGTAATACATACGCGAGCTATAATTTAATTAAAACTCTCATACCAACTATTGTAATAACATGCTCAAGAAAATAGTACTATATGAAATCCCGGCTTCAAGAATGTTCGCGCAAAATAAGCCAGGATTAGCGCAAGAAGCTCGGTATTAAATTAGCTCGTAGCAGTTGCTACAACTTGCTCAGCATCGCGTCGGGACTATAGCTACGACAGCTACGAGAGCTACGAGCTACGAATCATCTAGTTACATACTTACTCGACATGTTGTTCACTCATTGTTGATTGGTTAGTGATTTATATAAAAATATCTTACGAAGTACTGAAATAAATTTTGATGAAGATTAATGAATTTAAAGGTTCGCGAGAACCAGCTAGGACGAACTTTCCTGTCGAATCGGAGAGATTGTCTTCTCTAGCCAAATAACACTATTTTTAAGTTTTATTTTTCTACCGTGAGTAAGAACTTTAGATCTCTTTGTGGTTGAAGATGGAGGCAAGGTAGGGAACATGGCAGTTAGCTATGATTACTCTGTATTAACCATCAGGTGGGTGTCAAGGTTGCTTTTAATTCTCCATATCCTTTCATTGGGTAGGCTGTGCTGTGCCCCTATAATAGGAATATTAACGGGACACATCCGCATTAGATTGATTATGAGGTACGATACGTATGCACGACTTACTACAATACGCTTTCTTTGATTTAAATAGTTGACAACTCAATATAATTTACACGTACACATAATTTTGAGTACACATTGGATATTCACAGTCATTTACTGATTGTAAAATTACTTTAATGGCCTCATGCTCCTAAAAATATTTATCAATATCGTATTAGTGAGCAAATTACTCTATAAAATATTTGCTACAGCTTGATTTTCGTACCCATTGTTTATGAGAAAATATCGAGAGATATTTAAGTGTCGGATAGGATGCAGGTCGCGAGCGGCGGATTACAGCGCTTCGCGGCTGCATAATAATGCAGGCTCAACCAGGGCGCCTTCTTAGGCGCTTGCATTGTACGGCTTTAGTATGTGTACACTGTACAGTACCGCCAAAGTGATTAATTTGGATAAGTATTACGTCCCCTTGTAGCAATTTTGCTTGCTTTTTCGAATAAACTTAGACTAGAATAAGCCCATACAACAATGTCAAACTTACATTGAATTTTTGTAACTTTTGAGATTTAGAAAATTTGCTGCAAGTGGCCTGTATATTTTAAAAGTACCTAATATGAAGCAAGTGTGTATGACATCTACCTTAGTGTTAGCGATGTGATCAAATGGTTAGATTTTATCACTTTATTGATTAATCTCTATAATGATCAGAAAATGTGAGAGAGTACCTAATAAATTTCATTGTGGTAATAACTAGTGACTCTGTATTACATTGACTTTAAAATTGATACTTAACTATTGATACTTATTAACTAGTAATCAGCAGCGAAAGGAGAGCCTTGCTCTATTTTTTAATATCTTAACTGTTACCAAAGTAGGTTACATACAGTGCCTTATGCTACTACTATATTCCAACTTCAAGTGTTAAAAGCCCGCAAACAAGTGCGATATTTAGACAGCGGGCCTCATTCATTTTGTGAGCAGTAAGTATGCGGGTTTTCTCACGTTTCAAAAGTTCCTGAGTAATGAAGTCATACGAGTAGAGAAGATAATATAGCCCACACGGAGCTTAGGTACAAATGGCCGTTTCAAACAACGCTTTGGGTTATTCTTTGTTAAGAATATATATTTACAGTGTTGCCTTCAAACGAAAAATTTGCGAAAAGCGTCGTTAAATATGATCACGTAAATTGATCTTCGCTTGTTTTTTGGGACAAAGGTGATGAAATCACAATCGCACATATCCGGTACTCCGGATACTAATGTCTGTTTTCTCAAACTGTATGACAGAACCGGGAATAAAAACTCGATACTGATAAATAGGTCGTCATAGTTTCAACGTGTTAGCAGTTTGTGTCATGGAAGCATAGATTAAAATGGAATTTAAAAGTGATATCACCACATGGTCTTATGGACGGTGATACTGAGGAGATGATCAACTGTTCAACTTTATCTCCATAGGAAACTAAATCTCTAGTTAGGCACCTTGCGCACTAGATAGCGATGACCACGACAGTCGCCGCAAAGACCAGATTAACTATAGAAACCATATGAACGTCGTGCACTTGCCTCTGGCTAACTGGCTGCCACCGGGGTGGCACGATTGGTCGTTGAGGCCAACTTGCTATGAGTACTCGCTTTATGTGGACAGTTCGTAATTGAACACGCGTATCGTACCGCAACTCAATGCGACTAGGTGTTTTTCTGCAATGAGATTTGATACGGGTTATTTATTAATGAAATAAAGAAATGAAGTGATCTTTTGCGATCAAGGTTGCGGCCACGACTGGCCATGTTCGTGGCCGTGTAGTACGCGAGGTGCCTTATACAGACATCGTAGATAACTAATTTCTGTATTTTACGTACCCTGCTTTTCTAAATAATTTAAATTGATAGCTGGATTTCAGAACTATAACATTATTCATGAACAGGGTTAGGGTTCGTAACGTTCGTGTTAAATACTTGGGGATTTCGATATTAGTATCGTAAGCGTTTAATAGTTACCACTATCGCTAACCTTTAGGCGTGCGTGCGTGTGATTATAATTTAACTATGCCTTATAAATTTTATTCATGATTTCCTGGTGAACGTACTTTTTCTCTCATTTTGCAATATATATATATATTTATATATATTAGGAGTAATTGATGATTGATATTTATTTGGTCAGATTTTTTTGTGGAATATAAATACTATAATATAGGCTTTATGTTAAGTTTTTTAAAAACGTTCATACGTTAATTACTTATAAGTGTATAGTGTCTCTATAAAAAGCGGATGGATGTTATACGCAACAGAATTAAAAAAAATCGGTTGCATACCTATATCAGTAAAACAACGAAAATAAAAAATCTGTTTTCAAATATGCCACGGAAACGTTTAACCCTTGGCATGCCTGGTAACCAAAAATTACACGGTATGCCTGGTGGGTCTATCAGACACAGATTTTTAACTTGTTTCTTTTTATATACATTTAATTGTGTTAAGCGATCGAATGGATTAACAAGAATGCTTAAAGGGTAAACAAGAAATAATAATCGCTTGTTAGGGATAGAAGTACCAATAATAAGTCACCTATTGTTAATCTAGTAAGGAAAACCTGTAATTGGCCATACTTTTAGAAATGTATCTACTGTAAATTTTGTATCGGAAAAACGCTGTTGGTTTCCTTAGACAACAAATAAATAATAAATGTCATATTGGAAATGAAAAGTCTTCATATATTTTCTTTTACACCTGTGTTATCATTTTATTGAGCTTTGGTTTGGTAGCACTTTGTGCATTGAAAAATTTAATGATTAAGACAAATGTAACTGCTTCATGTCTCACAAATGTATTGTGTTTTGGGATCTTTTTTTACTAGACAAACGTGGCACCTACGCTAAATTCGAATCGCCATCATTCGAAACTAAAATATTCTCTTCTACCTCAGATTAAGCTTCTTCGATCTCTTGAAAGATGTAATCAGACTCTTCTCCACTCGAATTAAATATAATATCCTACTCCTCACTCAATTCTAATAATATATTAGCTATATCGTCGCGTTATATGCCTGGTGGGGTTTGTGGAACCCGCGTTCACTTTATACACGTCCTTCTACGTCGGTAGCTTGCCGAGCATTGAGGAAGCGGGTGGGGAACGTCGTGCGGTTAGTAACAACCAGCTACTGAGAACGGTTAAGCATATAATTCAAATTTGAATGAACTCCAACGGATTCCGTGCTAGTGTGGGTCTGACAGACCCTATCAGGCATGCCGATGGTTAACAATATGGCGTCTTACAGGCATGCACGGTTCTCATTAAAACGTCAAACAGTACAAAATAATGTCACTTTGACAGCATGTTTACAAGCAGGTCACGGGTCAATAGATCAAAAAATTACTTTTCTATTTCATGATTTTTAGTAATATTATCAAATCATGTTAAATACACATGCCAATAATTGGTACTTTATTGTTCATACTGTCAAATGCCCTTTTTTAAGTAAACTTTGGTCATGGGGTAAGGTGTGATTTTGCATAATAAAAGTTTATATGGGGAAGGAGTCCAGAAAGCTAATATTTTTAAATACCTAATACTGTATTCGCTATGTAAAGTTAAGTTCTTTGTAAAGAAGAAATAATCATTTATTTCTATTTGATTTTATTCTTCTTTGTTTTGTTAGCATGCATGTTATATTTTTTCTGGGTAAAAGATTCATTACTTCGCTCGTTGCTTCATAAAATCAAGCAGTTACAAATCGTCGTGTTTCATGGTCGAAATTCGTACAAGGTGATACACCAAAGTCACCGTTATTCTGTTATAAGTAAACTCTCTATCGTTATCCACCTTTAAATAATAATGTTTTGGGTGTACTTAAACCTAGTAGCATTCTGTGCATTACACCAGATTCGCGAAAAGGGCGAGCAGCAACGTAATAACGCTCTGCGCCGGTGTCAAAACATGCTGTGTTTTCGCAGCAATATTCGTCGTTGGCGCCACAAATGGGCCAAATCCCTGGGAACGGTTTAAGTTTTGTCAGTACACGGTAAGCTTTTTGCCACTTTGCGAAGGTGCTTCATTTTAGTCGCACTCAACTAGCTCCGTGTCTAGATCTAAAAGCTTTAATAATTTGCGAGGTTGGTTCTTGTATTTTATAGTAGTCGTAAACTTCCGCGCTCGCCACTCATTTAATATAACACTCTTTTAAGCGGTTTCTAGTTTTCTTTTTCAGTTTCCGTGGTCAGAGAGAAATATTGATAAGATGCACTTAGAACTGTAAATGAAATGATTTATTTTTGCAAATTTATTTCCAATGAGGTCGAAGTTGTGGTGATGTGAACAGTGCAGTTAACCCTTTTTAAGTTAAATAACAGATAAAAACAAGACTGCATGGTATTTCAATGTACAAGAATGATAGTTTTTAAAAAAGATAAAAATGATGAAGAAACTATTAGTCTACGTAATTATTTCCTAAGCTGCCACGCACCGAAAGTGAGTTATGAGATGATTGATTTTTGCCAGCAACTTGGACCAAACGAATAAGAAATGTGACACCGATTGAGAGGTTATGATTCTAAGTTAGAAATTTTGAATGAATTGAAACATTATTTGAAAGTTTATGGTGTGAAGCTATTTATTTATTTATTTATTTATTTATTTATACTTTATTGCACAAAA